ACAGATGTGAACAGGTGTGGTCTCTATAGACAGATGTGAACAGGTGTGGTCTCTATAGACAGGTGTGGACCAGTGTGAACAAGGTGTGAACAGGTGTGGTCTCTATAGACAGGTGTGTACAGGTGTGGTCTCTATAGACAGGTGTGAATAAGGTGGGGACAGGTGTGGTCTCTATAGACAGATGTGAACAGGTGTGGTCTCTATAGACAGGTGTGGACCAGTGTGAACAAGGTGTGAACAGGTGTGGTCTCTATAGACAGGTGTGTACAGGTGTGGTCTCTATAGACAGGTGTGAATAAGGTGGGGACAGGTGTGGTCTCTATAGACAGATGTGAACAGGTGTGGTCTCTATAGACAGGTGTGAACAGGTGTGAACAGGTGTGGTCTCTGTGAACAAGTGTGGACAGGTGTCCAGGTGTGGGAGCAGAGCAGCTGTACCTCCTCTGTAGACCAGCAGCACCACCTCTCCTTGTTTGGTGTGTTCCTGCAGAACTCTCTGGACCTGGAAGGACGAACAGGTGAGATTACGCTCCTTCAGTTCCTGCTCTGAGGTGTTGCTCATGGGCAGGTCAATCTGAGGGATCAGGGTTCACCTGGGAGAAGCTGAGGCTCTGCACGTCGGCTCCGTTTATCTTTACAATGGCGTCTCCTGCCTGCAGCAAGGGGCACTGTCTGCGATCCCAAACCCGCCTCACCAGCACCTGCTGACCCCCCTGTCCTCCTGCCGTCACGCTGAACCCCAGCCCCCCACTGTCACTGTGCCCTACWGCCACCGGCACCAGCTCCCGTCCAGGTGCTGACCCAGGAGACCCCGCCCCCAGMGYGAGCACCAGTCCTGGATTTTCTCTMGAGCCTGCAGCTGGGTGGATGGCTGGACACCCATTGAAACCACAGGGTGGGGCGTCTCCTGGAGGAGACACAGCGATGGAGGTCTGAGGCATAGCTGGGCGCTGCACGGACCCTGAAAGTGTCGAGGCAGAGGGGGGACTGGTGCTGGTGCTGGGGCTGATGGTGTTCTGGAGGAGGCCTGACTCGGACCGAGACAGAGGCAGTTTGGACAGCATGTGGGAGGACGAGGACGTGATGGGGAGTGTGGATGTGGACAGATCGCTCTCTGAGGATTTGGAGCTCTGATGAAGGAGGGAGGAGGAGAGGGCAGGGAGGGTGCTGCTGTTGTAGCGAATCAGAGAAGACCTGGTGMGAGGAGGAGGAGGAGCAGAGAGGACACCCAACAAATGTCAACAAGATGAGAACCGGTCCAACAGAACCACCTCAGAACAGTAAATATCCAGGTGGACCACATGATCCATATTAGACAAACACCGAAACAAATGCTAACGCTGCTAATGCTGCTAATGATGTTAACACTGCTAAAGCTGCTAATGATGTTAACACTGCTAAAGCTGCTAATGATGTTAACACTGCTAAAGCTGCTAATGATGTTAACACTGCTAAAGCTGCTAATGATGTTAACACTGCTAAAGCTGCTAATGATGTTAACACTGCTAAAGCTGCTAATGATGTTAACACGCTACTAATGCTAATGCTGCTAATGATGTTAACACTGCTAATACTGCTAATGATGTTAACACTGCTAAAGCTGCTAATGATGTTAACACGCCACTAGTCCTAATGCTGCTAATGATGTTAACACGCTACTAATGCTAATGCTGCTAATGATGTTAACACTGCTAATGTTGCTAATGATGTAAACATTGCTAATGCTGCTAATGATGTAAACATTGCTAATGATGTTAACACTGCTAATGCCGCTAATGATGTTAACACTGCTAATGCCGCTAATGATGTTAACACTGCTAATGCCGCTAATGATGTTAACACTGCTAATGCTGCTAATGGTGTTAACACTGCTAATGCTGCTAATGGTGTTAACACTGCTAATGCTGCTAATGGTGTTAACACTGCTAATGCTGCTAATGGTGTTAACACTGCTAATGCTGCTAACTCTGAGCAAACACTGACCTCCGAGTTCCAGGATTGGAAGGCCCGCTGTCAGAGTCACTGTGATTAGGTGGAGTTTTCTCTGCAGGAGGGGGCGGGTCAGAGGAAGTGGGAGTGGGTGGGCTTGTTAAACCATTTGTAATTGGCTGAACAGCGCAGGAGGACATAGTCAGGGCTGGACCTATGTTGAATTTGAAAAAAAAAGGAGAAAAATATCACCTCATTAATTAATGGAACCAGAATAAAAAAATTTTATCTGACAGTTTTTATTTTGTTTTTGTTTTTACATAAAATCAGATGAAGTTTTAAAGAAATGCCTACAAATGAAGAAGTGTTTGATTAATTTACCTGTACAACAGCGCCCCCTGCTGTGTGGGTGTTACCATCTACAGTTTGTCTGTGCTCAAGATTACTCAAAGTTCTGGACGGATTTTTGTGAAATTTTCAGGACATGTTGAGATTTTTCACAAAGAACAAATCACTTAATTTTGGTTGTGATCTGGTTTTATATGTGAAGCAACAAAACATCTAAAAAGACAAACAGAAACTGAAACTTAAAACTGGTTTAGTGATGTCACACTGACAGCCAATCAGCATCCAGCAGAGGTTTGTTCCTGCAGTCACAGCTCAGCAGCTGCTCCCTCTCATGTGAATAACCCAGAGTTCAGCAGAGCTGTTCTGGTTTTCTGGGCAGGTTTGAGTCTTCAGGTGAATTTAAAATGAAATTCAGAATAATTTAGGGTAAACAGACTAAAGCAGTCATCGTACGGATGGATTTTGCAGACGCTCTGACCTGATGTGCTGCCGTTGGCATCAGGTGGGTGGCTGTAGGTGAGGTGCGTCAGGCCGCGGGTGGGTTTGGAGGACTCGCTGTGCGTCTGCGGCTGCTGCAGGAGGTCAGAGGTCAGAGGTCAGAACATGTTAGGCTTTCATCACTTCCTTCATTCTGGGTTTYTTCTGACTTTCTGCTCCAGGCTGGTGTCTTAAGGTGGAATGAGACTGTGAGGTGTTTTAGGGTGTACCGTGTCCAGGTTCTGTTTGGGACAGCCATCCGGGTTGTACAGCATCGGGTACCCCCTCCTCAGGACCACGTCCACGCTCTGACCCATCGGAACCGACTTCAGCATCTCCACCACCTCCTTATGGGAGCGCCCGAGCACGCAGACGTCGTTGATGTAGACCAGGATGTCCGCTGCAGGACCAGGATAGACCAGTAGACAAAAACTGTTCAGTCTGGACCTGGTTTCCTGATCCATCTCTTTTGTTTGGGTCAAATCAAAACCCAGACCAGTTAGATCACCAACATAAACAACATGTTTGACTCCACTTCAGGACCCAGTTCTGGTATTCAGGTTTATTAAGGACCTGGTTCTTGGGTTGTGTTTGGGACCCAATTCTGGTTCTTGTTGTTCTGTCAGAACCAGGACATATTAACTGTGAGGATTTGTTTTGGATCATAAGACTCTTTAATTCTGGTGGTTTTAAAACTCCTTAGTCCCCTGACTCGTTTTGCTAACAGGGTTTATGTGGACCCAGGTTCTGGTTCTTTGTTTTGGTTTAGTTTCTAGAAATGACTCCACCTGTCTCTGTAGACCTGTAGAGGACCAGAGATGGTCCACCTGTCTCTATAGACCTGTAGAGGACCAGAGATGGTCCACCTGTCTCTGTAGACCTGTAGAGGACCAGAGATGGTCCACCTGTCTCTATAGACCTGTAGAGGACCAGAGATGGTCCACCTGTTTCTGTTGAGCTGTAGAGGACCAGAGATGGTCCACCTGTCTCTATAGACCTGTAGAGGATCAGAGATGGTCCACATGTCTCTGTAGACCTGTAGAGGACCAGAGATGTTCCACATGTCTCTGTAGACCTGTAGAGGACCAGAGGAGGTCCACCTGTCTCTCTTGTCCTGTAGAGGACCAGAGATGGTCCACCTGTCTCTGTAGGCCTGTAGAGGATCAGAGATGGTCCACATGTCTCTGTAGGCCTGTAGAGGACCAGAGATTGTCCATGTCTCTGTAGACTTGTAGAGGACCAGAGGAGGTCCAACTGTCTCTCTTGTTCTGTAGAGGACCAGAGATGGTCCACCTGTCTCTGTAGGCCTGTAGAGGACCAGAGATTGTCCACGTCTCTGTAGACCTGTAGAGGACCAGAGGAGGTCCAACTGTCTCTCTTGTTCTGTAGAGGACCAGAGATGGTCCACCTGTCTCTGTAGGCCTGTAGAGGACCAGAGATGTCCACCTGTCTCTGTAGACCTGTAGAAAACCAGAGATGGTCCACCTGTCTCTGTAGACCTGTAGAGGACCAGAGATGGTCCACATGTCTCTGTAGATCTGTAGAGGACCAGAGATGGCCCACATGTCTCTGTAGATCTGTAGAGGACCAGAGATGGTCCACATGTCTCTGTAGACCTGTAGAGGACCAGAGATGGTTTACCTGTCTCTGTAGACCTGTAGAGGACCAGAGATGGTTTACCTGTCTCTGTAGACCTGTAGAGGACCAGAGATGGTTTACCTGTCTCTGTAGACCTGTAGAGGACCAGAGATGGTCCACATGTCTCTGTAGACCTGTAGAGGATCAGAGATGATCCACATGACTCTGTAGTCCTGTAGAGGACCGGAGATGGTCCACATGTCTCTGTAGATCTGTAGTGGACCAGGCATGGTCCACATGTCTCTGTAGACCTGTAGAGGACCAGAGGAGGTCTCTGTACCCGTGTTGAGGGCTGGTGGACCTCCAGGTGTGACACTGTACACCTGCAAGAACTCTCGGGGACGACTTCCTCCAACGATGTTGAAACCGAAGCCTCGAGGACCTTTGGAGAGCCGGGTGTGGATGGAGTACCCCTTCAGCTGACTGGGCTGCTCCGTGAACTCTGGAACTGTCAGAGACACAAGAACAGTTCTGATCAGACGGGTCCGGTTCTGTTCTGCAGTTTGACACAGATCAGGGATGGAAGGAAGGTGATCAGGAGATGATGTGAACGTTAAAAGTTTCTGCAAATTTAAGTTTGAATAAGATTTGAACCCTTTAGTGAAAAGTTATTTATTTTAACCTCAGTTTGTTTTTCTTCCTGAAACATTTGTTCTTCACACAGTCAGAAAAATCTGAATATTTAAAATAAACAAAACCTGAGAACAAAAACAATGGTGCCCCACCCTCTGATGCTCCTCCCCCCAGTGCCCCACCCTCTGATGCTCCTCCCCCCAGTGCTCCACCCTCTGATGCTCCTCCCCCCAGTACTCAACCACCCTCTGATGCTCCTCCCCCCAGTACTCAACCACCCTCTGATGCTCCTCCCCCCAGTACTCAACCACCCTCTGATGCTCCTCCCCCAGTGCTCCATCCTCTGATGCTCCTCCCTCCTATCCATTGGAGGGACACCTGGACAGGTCTTTTGTCCATCAAAGTCTGGTCAAACACAGAGGACAAACTTACGTTCTGTGCAGGACGTGGTCTCTTTGCTCTGAGTTCGAGGGTCCAGCCAGCTGGTGGTCTTTGAGTTGTGACTGACAGACATGTTGTCGTCATGGAAACGAGATGAAACATGAAAGAAGCAGACTCATTAATGAAAAGCAGAACTCTGATTGATGAATTCCTGATCTGTGATTGGGTCTCACTCGATGTAGTAGGGTTCTCCTGAGTCGCTGTAGGCCAGCTCCCAGTTTTCAGGCAGCGGACCTCCTCCTCTTCCTCCTCCTCTTCCTCCTCTTCCTCCTCCATTCTCTGTTCCCTCCCGACCCCCAGCTGCTGGCTCCCACGATTGGTTGAGAGGAGGCGCCGTGGGCGGGGCCCCAGCAGAGCCTGCTGGAGGACGAGCCTGGTTAGAGACCACCTGTYCAGGTGGGCGTGTGGGAGACGTTTTGAGACCTGGTGGACCGCTGTCCTCCTCGCTGTTGTCTCCTTCCTCCACGGCCTTCTCCAGGTTGCTCAGAGACTTGCTCCTCGTCCTGAAGTTCCTCAGCAGGTTTCGATGTTCCTGGTACGTGATTGGTGGACTCTCTGGACCAATGTGAACGGGGCGGGGCGTCCCGTAGTAGTTCCCTGTGATTGGACAGAAACACAGATGGAAGACGGTTCATGTGTGAACTTTGCTTCTATTTTAGTGTCTTTAATCCGGTCAGATTAATATGCAGGGTAGTGGGATTAGTGGGGGCAGATTAAAAGTTACAAATTTGAAAGATTGGAGCAAATCCTCTTATTTCCCAAACAGTGAAAAAGAAGCTAACAGCAGGAAGATGTCAGAGCTTCATGCTACCTGAACAGGTGTTCTCCTGGGTTACTGATCCCAACCCTCAAACTGGGTCAGGAAGTCTGAGGTCTCCTGGATCCTACACGTCCAGGCAGACCTCTGCTAAAACTCACTTTCTGATCAAACAGCTGAGTCAGCGCTAACCTTCACGTTTCCACGTTTTTACAGAAAGAAAGAGTTTAACAGAAGTTTACGTTTCACTGATTTAATGTTTCTGTTTCAGTGATGGGGGCGGGGCCAGGTGGAACCAGAGGAAGTGTTTGTTTTTGGTACCTTTGAATTTGCCGCTCTCCAGCAGAGCTCCAGACTCCTCCAGAGAGAAGAACTCTTCGATGGACACAAAGTTGTAGTCGACACCTGAAATTTCTCCGTCCCGCGGCTGCCTGGTGGTACCTGTGGGGACATGCTGTGATGTCAGAACAGATAAAAACTGGAGCGTTTCATGAGGTTTGACTGTGTTTCAGAACCTTCCTAATAAAAAAAGCTAAACGTTTGGTCAGAAGACGTGAGTTTGTGGACCGTGAGTCCAGGTGTGTCTTACACGGCACGGCGCGCAGGTACAGGTTCTCCCTGATGAGCTGCTGCAGCTGGCTGTCCATGGAGCCTGGAGTGAAACACTTACTGAGGTACAGCCTCAAGTCTTTACACAGAGACGAACCTGGAGATGATGTCACAGACAGGAAGTGATGTCATATCCCTGTCCCCGGTACAAACTGAGTCAAAGCCTGCTTTCTCACCTGGGGAGACGGTCTTGATTCTGATTGGATGAGGACAGGAGTTGAGCACTCCTCTGACATCACCAAGCGTCATCCCCAACACGGGCGTCCCTCCGATCTCTAAGATGATGTCACCAACTGTGGCCCCACCCCCAGGGGCTGCAGTAACGAAGGGGAACTCTCCGTAGTCGGCACCGCCTCCAATAGCGAGGCCCAGCTCTCCAGAGCCCCCGGTGCCGCCCAGCGGGACGAAGCTCTCCTGCACCTGCAGACGACACACAGGACCAGTTTTTCCTCACACTGGACATRGTGAAGCTCCACCTGTCCAGAGTCCAGGTGTCACACTTGGTTCTGTACCTTGGAGCGCCAGTGCAGCTTCTTCACCGTCGCTTTAGACATGGCAGCTGAGCTGCAGGCAGAGAGAACAGGAGGTTACTGAGCATGCTCAGTGACAAACATTAACACCATCAATCAGCCTCAGGTTTCACTCAGAACAGAGTCCTGACCCAGGTACAGATCTGACAACAGAGTCCTGACCCAGTACAGATCTGACAACCGAGTCCTGACCCAAGGGTCAGATCTGACAACCGAGTCCTGACCCAAGGGTCAGATCTGACAACCGAGTCCTGACCCAAGGGTCAGCTCTGTCAACCGAGTCCTGACCCAAGGGTCAGCTCTGTCAACCGAGTCCTGACCCAAGGGTCAGATCTGTCAACCGAGTCTTGACCCAAGGGTCAGCTCTGTCAACCGAGTCTTGACCCAAGGGTCAGATCTGTCAACCGAGTCTTGACCCAAGGGTCAGCTCTGTCAACCGAGTCCTGACCCAAGGGTCAGATCTGTCAACCGAGTCTTGACCCAAGGGTCAGCTCTGTCAACCGAGTCCTGACCCAAGGGTCAGATCTGTCAACCGAGTCTTGACCCAAGGGTCAGCTCTGTCAACCGAGTCTTGACCCAAGGGTCAGATCTGTCAACCGAGTCTTGACCCAAGGGTCAGCTCTGTCAACCGAGTCCTGACCCAAGGGTCAGATCTGACAACAGAGTCTTGACCCAGGTGCAGCTCTGTCAACCGAGTCCTGACCCAGGTGCAGCTCTGTCAACCGAGTCCTGACCCAGGTGCAGCTCTGTCAACCGAGTCCTGACCCAGGTGCAGCTCTGTCAACCGAGTCCTAACCCAAGGTACAAATCTGACAACAGGTACAGGACTCTGTTCTCAGTGATATCTGACAACAAAGTCCTGTACCTTGGATTAGGATCTAGTCATGGTCTCAGTCTGTTCTGGTAGGTTCTCAGAATCCAACCAGGTTTAACCTCCACACAGATTTTACTTAAAGTTTTATAATAAACTTTCAGGGATGGYCTTTATGAAACAGATGTCACTCTCCTGTTCCACAACTCTCCTTCAATAAACTGGTTCTATTGTGGATCAACAGCAGTCAGTCTACAAACAAATCAATTAAACAACCAATTGTTTAATTGGGCTTTTTAAAGTCCAAAAAAATAAAGTCCAAAGGATTAAATATTGTTTTTGTCCAAAATCCTGTGACGGTCAGGAAGGTTTATTCCTTCTCATTTCTTACTTCCTCATAAAAAAAGTCATTTTGAGTCTCCGAACACCAAACTTTACTTTTCCTCCTCAGAAACCTAAATAATGTCTTTAGTTTGGTCTCCCAGAAACAGAAGAAAGAGCTTCCTGTTTGAGAGCAGCGCCCCCATCGATTCATCGAATCACTGCCTCTGTGTCAGAACAGCAGATGGTAGTGGACAGCAGGAAGACACACACACACACACACACACACACACACACACACACACACACACACACACACACACACACACACAGCCTGTCAATGTACATTGAATATGGATGAACATATGTGAATAAAGTCAGTGAGGAAACAAACAACAGTGTTCACGTTCAGACTCATGACCTGTTTTTAAACTGAATATGTAATAAATCCAACACAGGAAGTGAGGAGGAAGCTTCCWGTTAGAAATTAAAAACACTTTAAATGAACACTACTCAATCATTCAGTACAATATTTTGTCACAACTTAATATTGGGTTTACATAAAAAAGCTCAGACAGTGGTTGTAGATTTTGAATTAAACTGTGTTACAGTTCATTTCCTCTGGATGGTTTTAATTTGGCCTCCAGTTCTGAACATGTTACCATTACTCTTTAACTTATGTTACCTTCAACATGTTACCATTACTCTTTAACTTATGTTACCTTCAACATGTTACCATTACTCTTTAACCTATACAATGTTACCTTCAACATGTTACCATTACTCTTTAACCTACACAATGTTACCTTCAACATGTTACCATTACTCTTTAACCTATACAATGTTACCTTCAACATGTTACCATTACTCTTTAACCTATACAATGTTACCTTCAACATGTTACCATTACTCTTTAACCTATACAATGTTACCTTCAACATGTTACCATTACTCTTTAACCTACACAATGTTACCTTCAACGTGTTACCATTACTCTTTAACTTACAATGTTGCCTTCAACATGTTACCATTACTCTTTAACTTATACAATGTTACCTTCAACATGTTACCATTACTCTTTAACCTACACAATGTTACCTTCAACATGTTACCATTACTCTTTAACCTGCACAGTGTTACCTTCAACATGTTACTATTACTCTTTAACCTACAATGTTACCTTCAACATGTTACCATTACTCTTTAACTTATAATGTTACCCTCAACATGTTACCATTACTCTTTAACTTATAATGTTACCTTCAACATGTTACCATTACTCTTTAACCTATACAATGTTACCTTCAACATGTTACCATTACTCTTTAACTTATACA